TGGAAATCGACAACAGCCCCTATTATGTGTGAGGTAATACATTTAGTAAAAGATACCTGATTATAAAAAAACTATGGCACATAAAGATGGCACATATAGCAGATTCAGCAGAGACGATTGGTCCCTTTGGAAGAATAACAATACCAGCTGAGGCCTAAATCTGATACCTTTTCTTTTTTCCTTCCTTCTTTCTGTAATGCTTTTCCTTACTCCTTTTTCGTTTTTCTATTTTTTTTTCAATACATTAGATTCACAAAAGTTTAAATTGATAACTGATATGTATCAATATTTGTACAATTGTCATACCCGAATTACAAACCTATGTATCTATAGGTGTTATTACTGTTCTGAAGACTGTCTTGTTGAGAGACATGTTGTCTCTGGTTTTCTCTATACTTTATTTCATCTGTTTTAAAAAATCTAATATAAATGTATATGATGAAAAAAAAAGAAAGCTCCGTCTCAAAAAAGGATAAAAATGTCATATGGGTACAGTGTTTCATGACTAAGTAATTGTCACTCAAAGTGTGATAGTGCTGAAAGCTGAAACTTGGCCTAGACTGGAAGGAAGTGAAAGTGTCCGAATTTGAAATGGTTAAGCCCATCTGTCTTTTTTTTTTTTTTTTGGGATGTTAAAACTTTAGACATAGTTAGTAAATGTGTGGTGCTTTTGTTACATACTATTTAATGCATAAGAAACTGACAGTGTGTTGTTTACAAAGGTTAACATCTACATACAGTACCTCTGTTTTTGCTTTTAAGCATGTCCATGTTTTTTTTTTAAGTATATGTCTAAGGTGAATGTGAGCATTGTGAGGTGCTTTTGATGCACACTGTTTTTGAGTAACAAAGCAATTGCAACAAATGAATGCTGTACTGTATATACACTATATAGATATATAGAGAGAGCAATTAAATAAAAAAGACCCTCCCACCCCTACTTTACGTGCCATATTCTGTTTGGCCCCTTCCGGAAAATGGTTAATCCTAAACTAAATGGGAGTGGGGCTGCCCTCTAACAAATGGGGGATCCTTGAGAGTTTCCTTATATTTATTATTGTATACAACAATTTTCCTGCATTTAATGGAACCCCAGCCTTTTTTCATGATTTGCTTCTGTAATATTATTAAAATAATGATCCCCTATTTCTTTCGGGACTTGGTCCCATTGACGGCTTAAGTCTGCACCAATTCTTTAAAGATGGAAGGCTCTTATCCAGAGATCTCCTTCTAAAGAAATGGCCTACATTGAGCTTAACACAATGGATGAATAGACAACTCCACCATTTCGTCCTCAGCTCACCCCACCTAAAAGCATACACTAGACATTTGACCCCCTTTGAGAAACTTTGCGCAACGGACTCACCTCAGAGACATATTATTTCCCAACTTTATTCCTGTCTCGAAACCACCAATGACCTCTCAATGAGGAAAGCTTGTAATGCCTGGAGCGCAGACCTACAACTCCAACTATCGCTGGAAGACTGGGATCACATATATGAACACATACCTAAAGGGTCTATATGTGTCTCCACACAAGAAAATAACTTTAAAGTGTACTCTAGATGGTATAGAGTTCCATCCCTGCTTCACCGCTTCAACCCCAATGTCTCAGATTTGTGCTGGAGATGCCATCAAATGACGGGCACACTCCTACACATTTGGTGGGAATGCCCATTGTTGCAACCTTTTTGGGGGAAAGTTCAATCTACAATTGCACAAGTTACCACGTACGACCTAAACCTTTACCCCGCACAATTTCTGCTCCATCATACTGTACTTCCATTTTGGACATACCGCAAATCACTCGCCTTGCATTTGGTAAATGCGGCTAAGCAATGTATCCCAGCCCACTGGCGTTCAACACATGTTCCCACTATACGGGAATGGTTTACCTGGATTGACAAAACTGAGGAAATGGAGGAACTGATTTCTGTAGCTAAGGAACATCCGAGAGATTCAGGAAAACATGGGCATGCTGGAGTCATTTCAAATCCACCCCTAACTATCACCTAATAGTACACGATCAACCAAGACCATCTGGCTGAATGTCTAACTACAGTGCGGAAGGGGGATATACTCTGATAACCGAAGACACTTCTCTCATACACAAGGATGGTATGTTCATCTATATCTCAACATGCCTTCTGGGGTTTTTGATACCTGCGTTACCCCACTGACCGATCCTTCACACATCATATCTTAAGCTCTAGCAATACCTGTCTCGCTGGGCCAATACATGAGGATGTAATGCTTTCTCCCCCCCCCCCCTTTTTTTTTTTTTCTTCCCCAACATCTCATCCTATAATTCTTTCTACTACTGTCTTTCTTTCTAACCTCTTGTCTTCACACCTGTTATTTCCTTGTATTATTTCTTCTCTACCAACCTAATAGAGCATTTACCTGCACACAGATATGACTAACTTCAACCATAGCACATACGCTAGTTATAAATATGTAAACAATGACCGTCACTGTACCCAATGCTTTCCCTACCCTTACCCCTATGATCACACTACTTTACCATTAAAAAGTTGATGAGAGTCAGGACGAGATAACATTCACTAACATCATTTTATCCATTTTCCTCTTGGTATCCACCATTTTACTTTTTATGATGGATGTACTGTTCTACATGATTTCGTCTTGCACAACTGTTTACAATTTGTCCCGTCTGCGAAACGGAAAGCAACATGTCATGTCTATGTTTTGACTGTGATCTATGGCTGTACATGCTCTAAATGCTTTTGTCTTCTCTTAAAACAATAAAGTATTTTTGGAGAATAAAATAATGATCCCCCTAAACTTTTTCCTTTTTAACTCTCTGTTAATCCATTCCCCACTGAGCTTCTTTCGTTTTGCCAACACCTTATTTGTTAAATTTATTTGGGGACATAAGCATCCATAGATCAAACAGCAAGATGTGACCTTTCCTAAATCACATGGTGGAATCACCCTACCAGACCTCTTGAAATACAAAACAGCAAGCAACTTAGTGTCAGGAATGGACTGGCCAGCAATGGTGGGACTCACCTGCCTTTTGATCTGCAGTACCAGGGCTGGCCAGCGGGTGCTCCCAGCAATCAGAGACTCAACCTTTCAGCCAGCTAACACCTGGAACTGATGATACTGGTGTATTTAAGGGATGGCCAGACCTGCAGACTCTGCCTTGGTGTTGTGTTTGTCCTGGGCCCTGTATCTGTCCTGCATCCTGTTTCTGTTCCTTTGCTGACCCTGCCTGATCTGAACCGCTGCTGACTTCTCCTGCTCTGATCCCGGCTCGCTCCTGACCATCCCTCTGCCTGACCCTCTGTACCACGCTGCTTGCTACCTGTTCTGATCCCTGGCTTGTGACCCTGACCATCCCTCTGCCTGACCCTCTGTACTACGCTGCTTGCTACCTGCTGAACCTGGCCTGTGACCCCGACCATTCTCCGCTTGCTCCCCCTGTACCTACCTGCCCTATTGATATTGACCCGGCCTGCCTGACGACGCTTGCTTGTATGTACTGTTATCTGTGGGTGGTTGGTTTGGTTTGTTTGCACTGTATTATGTTTTAGTATTGCACTGCGTTTATGTTTGAATTGTTAGTGTTAATAAATTATATTGTTTATCACATATCTGAAGTCTGCGTTTCCCTGCGTCAGTCACACACCTCTGGTCATACCCTGGAGCCCTGACATTACACCAAGGCCAATCCTGACCAGAAGTGGCTGCACAGGGAAGCCATCTTGGCTTGTTGATGGGAAGGATGGATCTGGATGAGGTTGCGTATTTATATCTGCTAGTGTTTGATGACAGGGAGTATGCTTATCAAACTCTGAAGGAGTATACCCGGGATGAACTGCTAGAATGTATACGGCTCGCTCATGTTCTAGTAGATCAGGGCACAGAGTTCTCTGAGGTGCAGCCTTTGATTGAGGTTTGTGCTGAGTTGGTTTCATCTGGTACCCCCGAATGCAGGGATGAATTTTTGCCGCCATTTAGTGCAGACCAGGTAGAGTCCTTGGTATGGTTATTAGAGGATGATGTGGGTTACTTTCTGGAGCGTTATTCCACATGTTCACCACAGGTACTAAGAGATTGTATAAACGCAGTGCAGTCTTTGGTCAGACAGGCTTTGTGTAAGCTCAGCTTTGTTCAACCCATACTGCAGACATGGACAGACTTGTTGCACCCAGCCTCAGTCAGCTTACAAAGACCCAGTCCTGCTTCTAATCTATTTCCTCAAAGCTCTATTCCTGCATTCCCAACAGCTCCTCCTGCCCTGCTATCTACCGCATGTCAGTACCCTGTTCCCACTCGCTGCACCTATCCTGCCTTTAACCCTGTAAAAAAGCCCTCTGTAGCAACTGCTCCCTCCCCTGTTCCATCCTCCAGTTCTTCTCTGTCTCCAGCTGCTCCATTCGTTTGCAGACCTGCGTTTACTTGCAGTGCTCCAGTAGTTAAAAAACCAGAAAAAAGCGAAAATTCTTTCCAACCAATACCATCCTGCCAGTATCCAAACCGGTGAACCTGCCTTCCGTGGTTCAGCCTGAATCCTCTACTCGGCCTGATGCCTGTACTCGGCCTGATGCCTGTACGCAGCCTGATGCCTCTACTCGGCCTGATGCCTGTACTCGGCCTGAAGCCTCTACTCGGCCTGATGCCTGTACGCAGCCTGAATCCTCTACTCAGCCTGATGCCTGTACTCAGCCTGAAGCCTCTACTCGGCCTGAAGCCTCTACTCGGCCTGAAGCCTGTACTCGGCCTGATGCCTGTACTCGGCCTGATGCCTGTACTCGGCCTGATGCCTGTACTCGGCCTGATGCCTCTACTCGGCCTGATGCCTGTACGCAGCCTGATGCCTGTACGCGGCCTGATGCCTGTACTCGGCCTGATGCCTGTACTCGGCCTGGTGCCTCTACTCGGCCTGGTGCCTCTACTCGGCCTGGTGCCTCTACTCAGCCTGGTGCCTCTACTCAGCCTGATGAACTGATCCAGCCTGATGATCCTATTAGGCCAGTTGACTCGATACCCGCTGTTGATCCAGACGATCCGGTACCTGATCCAGTGCCCGCTGTCGGGCCAATTGACTCAGAGCCCGCTGTCGTACCTGGTGACTCGGTGCCCACTGCCTTGCCAGATGACGCGGTGCCCGCTGGCGAGCCAAATGACCTGATGCCTGGTGACCCAGTGCCCGCTGTCATACCTGGTGACCCGATGCCCGCTGTCAAGCCAGATGATCCAATGCCTGGTGACCCGGTGCCCGCTGTCGTGCCAATTGACTCAGAGCCCGCTGTCGTACCTGGGGACTTGGTGCCCACTGCCTTGCCAGATGACGCGGTGCCCGCTGGCGAGCCAAATGACCTGATGCCTGGTGACCCAGTGCCCGCTGTCATACCTGGTGACCCGATGCCCGCTGTCGAGCCAGACAATCTGGTACCTGATGACCCGGTGCCCGCTGTCGTGCCTGTTGACTCGGAGCCCACTGCCTTGCCAGATGACACGGTGCCCGCTGTCGAGCCAAATGACCTGATGCCTGGTGACCCAATGCCCGCTGTCCAGCCAGACGATTCAATGCCTGCCCCAGTGCCCGCGGTCATGCCAGTTGACTCGGAGCCCACTGCCTTGCCAGATGACGCGGTGCTCGCTGTCGAGCCAAATGACTTGATGCCTGGTGACCCGATGCCCTCTGTCCAGTCAGAAGATCCAATGTCTGACCCAGTGCCCGCGGTCATACCAGTTGACTCGGAGCCCACTGCCTTGCCAGATGACGCGGTGCCCGCTGTCGAGCCAAATGACCTGATGCCTGGTGACCCAGTGCCCGCTGTCATACCTGGTGACCCGATGCCCGCTGTCGAGCCAGACGATCCAATGCCTGGGTGACCGGTGCCCACTGCCTTGCCAGATGACGCGGTGCCCGCTGGCAAGCCAAATGACCTGATGCCTGGTGACCCAGTGCCCGCTGTCATGCCAGTTGACTCGGAGCCCACTGTCGTGCCTGGTGACTCGGTGCCCGTCGCTTCGCCTGGGGGCCCGAGACCTGTCGCTCCGCCTGAGGGCCCGAGACCTGTCGTTCCACCTGGGGGTCCGGCGCCCGCCGCTCCGCCTGAGGGCCCGAGACCCGTAGCTCCGCCTGGGGGTCCGGCGCCCGCTGCTCCGCCTGAGGGCCCGAGACCCGTCGCTCCGCCTGGGGGTCCGGCGCCCGCCGCTCCGCCTAAGGGCCCGAGACCCGTCGCTCCGCCTGGGGGTCCGGCGCCCGCCGCTCCGCCTGGGGGCCCGAGACCCGTCGCTCCGCCTGGGGGTACGGCACCCGCCGCTCCGCTTGAGGGCCCGAGACCTGTTGCTCCGCCTGGGGGTCCAGCGCCCGCAGCTCCGCCTGAGGGCCCGAGACCTGTCGCTCCACCTTGGGGTCCGGCGCCCGCCGCTCCGCCTGGGGGCCCGGTGCCCCGCCGCCGCTCCGCCTGGGGGCCCGATGCCTGTCGCCCCGCCTGGGGGCCCGACGCCTGTCGCCCCACCTGGGGGCCCGGCACCCGCCGCCCCTAATGGGGGCCCGGCGCCCGCCGCTCCGCCTGGGGGCCCAATGCCTGTCACCCCGCCTGGGGGCCCGATGCCTGTCGCCCCGCCTGGGGGCCTGATGCCTGTCGCCCCGCCTGGGGGCCCGGTGCCTGCTGCTCCGCCTGGTGGCTTGGTGCCTGCTGCTCCGCCTGGTGGCTCGGTGCCTGCTGCTCCGCCTGGTAATCCGATGTGCCTCTGCCCGGAGTCCAGCCCGATGTGCCTCTGCCCGGAGTCCAGCCCGATGTGCCTCTGCCCGGAGTCCAGCCCGATGTGCCTCTGCCCGGAGTCCAGCCCGATGTGCCTCTGCCCGGAGTCCAGCCCGATGTGCCTCTGCCCGGAGTCCAGCCCGATGTGCCTCTGCCCGGAGTCCAGCCCGATGTGCCTCTGCCCGGAGTCCAGCCCGATGTGCCTCTGCCCGGAGTGCCTCTGCCCGATGTGCCTCTGCCCGGAGTCCAGCCCGATGTGCCTCTGCCCGGAGTCCAGCCCGATGTGCCTCTGCCCGGAGTCCAGCCGGATGTGCCTCTGCCCGGAGTGCCTCTGCCCGATGTGCCTCTGCCCGGAGTTCAGCCCGATGTGCCTCTGCCCGATGTGTCTCTGCCCGATGTGCCTCTGCCCGGTGTGCCGCTGCCCGGAGTCCTGCCCGGTGTGCCAGTCTTTGATATCCCGCCAGTTACCAGACCCGGGCGGTGGAACATTTTGCCCAGCTAGGACTGTTTGGAGCGTCCTGAGGCCGCTCCTTGAGGGGGGGGTACTGTCAGGAATGGACTGGCCAGCAATGGTGGGACTCACCTGCCTTTTGATCTGCAGTACCAGGGCTGGCCAACGGGTGCTCCCAGCAATCAGAGACTCAACCTTTCAGCCAGCTAACACCTGGAACTGATTATACTGGTGTATTTAAGGGATGGCCAGACCTGCAGACTCTGCCTTGGTGTTGTGTTTGTCCTGGGCCCTGTATCTGTCCTGCATCCTGTTTCTGTTCCTTTGCTGACCCTGCCTGATCTGAACGCTGCTGACTTCTCCTGCTCTGATCCCGGCTCGCTCCTGACCATCCCTCTGCCTGACCCTCTGTACCACGCTGCTTGCTACCTGTTCTGATCCCTGGCTTGTGACCCTGACCATCCCTCTGCCTGACCCTCTGTACTACGCTGCTTGCTACCTGCTGAACCTGGCCTGTGACCCCGACCATTCTCCGCTTGCTCCCCCTGTACCTACCTGCCCTATTGATATTGACCCGGCCTGCCTGACGACGCTTGCTTGTATGTACTGTTATCTGTGGGTGGTTGGTTTGGTTTGTTTGCACTGTATTATGTTTTAGTATTGCACTGCGTTTATGTTTGTATTGTTAGTGTTAATAAATTATATTGTTTATCACATATCTGAAGTCTGCGTTTCCCTGCGTCAGTCACACACCTCTGGTCATACCCTGGAGCCCTGACACTTAGTGAGAACTATGGACTTAGAACAGTCATACTCTGTCTTACCACCTTCCGGAAGCCTTTTATACCACATGTTTCACCTACACCTACTGGTATATAATATACTGGGTAACCTAAACATCTGCAACAGATATACAGTCCTTTTGTTAGAAGGTATATTTGAAGAGTCTCATTTCCAAAGGGAATCTAATTGACTTTTGATCTCTTCTTAAATGTCATCAAATGGCCCCTTTTGCCTACACGTATAGATCAGCTAGGCCACCAAGTCACTAAGACCGTTAATGGGTTTTGTGACCTTATGCTTTGATCCAACACTCTATTCTCTGTTATCTATGAGAATCAGGTCAGAACATCACCTCCCCTTTATAGCTATATGGGAAAAAATGTAAACGTTACAATCAGCCCTAAACAGGCCCACAGGATTTAGCAACTTTCCATGAAATCTTCAATCTGCACTGAAGTTCAGGAATCAAATTACAAGATCCTCTTATGATGGCACACAGCTCTGTAAACAATTAATAAAATAATTGCATCTGCTCCTGACCGATGTTGGAGGTATAAAACCAAGAAAGGTACACTTGTCCAGCCCCAAATTAACAGACTTCTGGTCTAACATCAGATAAATCTCCCAACTATTCACCAATTACTTCATCCCCCTAGACCTTTCTTTTTTTCTCATACACCACAATTCAATACTAACTAAAAAATAATGTAGCTGCTGACTTTTAAAAACACACACACTTACCTGTCCCAGGATCCAGTGATGTCCTTGTCCAACCCAGCATTTTGCTGGTCTTCAGGTCCAGGTGCTGGTGTCTTAACTGTGGGCAGTTGAAGCGATCCAATAGGCCAAGGCAATACGACCGGAAGTAAGACAGGGTACCTGTCAAAATCAGGTACCCACTCCCCCTCCCCAAAAAAACACAGTCAACATATGGGAGAGGAAGAAAAGGGGATTTTCACCTTTTGGGTGCGGTTTTAACTTAACTCTAGGGCTTTAGAATGTGGATAATTTACAAAATTACTGACTGCTACTGTTGCTAAAAAAGCATTCATGTAATGGATCTCATGCGCAAATTTTTTTGAGCAGGGCACTAACATAAACATAAATAAAACAACAATGTGGCAAATTATGTAATATTTTACAGCATACTTAGAAAATGTTCCTAATTTCCCCTTTTCATTATCTAATAGCACCATAAGCAACTAAAATCTAGGGAATATTGCAAAAATGTATCATATGTTATACATATGTACACAAAAAGTTGTATGTTGCACATACATATACTGTGCACAAAATGACTTGCTCCAGCATTTTTCTCTTTAAGTATCTTCAACATTTTTATTACAGCTCAATATTTAAAACTACAGTATTAGAAGGAAAGCAAAAAAATTACTTCTTTTCAGGTGTTGTGGCAATAAATTAACTGGATTCTTGATGAAGAAGTTGAGGCCAATTGGCATGCAGGTATAAAGGAGAATGAATCCAGTTTTTCCGGACTAGAGGAGCATTCTTGCAACCAGCGGGACCCATGTGAGTGACTAGAAAGGGTAGAGCATTGTCAGGTGTGCTCTTCTGGACAGTCTTAAGTCATGTCCCATTGTTGTGCTGTGCCAGTATCTCTGTCAAGGGAACCTGCAATTCCAATTTAAAGTGGAGTTCCCCCCTTCCCCAAAAAAAATAAATAAAAGTCATCAGCTACAAATACTGTACCTGCTGACTTAATATCACTTACCAGTCCATGTCCAGTGGTGTCCTCACTCCGAGCCAATTCTTCAATCAGCTGTTGGGTGCTGGGCCACCACCATCTTGACTAAGGAAAACAAGCAGTGAAGCCTTGAGGCTTCCCTGTTGGCTCCCTGCTGTACATGCATGAAGCGCACTGTGCTTTTTGAATGGGCCGCAATCCTCTGGGGCCTTATAAGTGTCCCAGGGGGCATTGGGCGGGGCCGAAGATCCGGCTCAATTCATGAACTGAGGCAGAAGTCGGACCGGGTATCTGTCAAAATGAGGTACCCACTCCCCCCCCAAGGTGCCAAATGTAGCAGCGGTGGAGGGAGAAGGTAAAAAAGCGGGTGGAACTCCGCTTTAACATGGTTCTACAGTCTAAACATTTTTTACCTTCATGCATTCTTTGCATGAAGGTAAAAATGGATAGGTAACAGTGTGACCCCTCCCCTCCCCTGGTATATTTACCTGATTCCTCAAACAGTCCAGCGCTGTGCCCATCTGTAGTGGCTCTTCCTGCTCTCACAGGCTTTGCTGAGGAAGCAGGAGCCATTGGCTGCTACAATCAGTCAAATTTTGTGATGAAGGAGCATGAGACTGGACCGAGCTGTGCTGTCTGTGTTTATGGATGGAGGCAGCATGGCTTAGGAGTCGTGATTAGGTCCACAGATGTGGCACCATAATAGGTGGGTTCTTATGATTGCACACTGATAAGAGGAAATGCCAAGAGCACCAGCGGGGGACCTGAAAAGATTAGATTCAGGACTGCTCTGTGCAATTCCATTGCACAGAGCAGGTAAGTACAAACTTGTTTGTTATTTAAAAAATATAGACTTTACAATCAGATTAAGTGAGAAAAGCTGTTTACCCAGTATGTCTCTGATATTCCCTTGTATAGTATTCTTTTCTGAAAAACTCCAAACTTTCAAAATTTTATTTGAATAATTATAATTAGTTATAAGAGTTGCTTTTTTAACCTTTCTAGCAGGGTACATTAAAACCTATAAATAATAGTGCAACCTGTGTACAGGTAGATGTTTTCTGCTGTCTTACATCAATTTATATGGTCCCTTACATGTATGCATAAAATAAATCACTCTTATTTTATGTAAGTATACTCATCCAGTATTTTTAATTGCAGAAATTTGTATAGTGTTGCTCCCACCTGACCATAATTATTCCAAGATTACAGTCTTAAAAATGTCCCATGAAGACTGAGTTAAAGTTGTAAAGTTGAAGGAAGAAATTGTAACTTTTAGTAACATTTTTTAAAATACGTGAACTATAAATACAGTGTCTTGAAAAAGTATACATACCTCTTGAAATGTTCCACATTTTGTCATGTTACAACCAAAAATGTAAATGTATTTTATTGGGATTTTATGTGATAGACCAACACAAAGTGGCACATAATTGTGAAGTGGAAGGAAAATGATAAATGATTTTCAAATTTTTTACTAATATGTGAAAAGTGTGGTGTGCATTTGTATTCAGCTCCCCTGGTTTAATACTTTGTAGAACCACAGTTTGCTGTGATTACAGCTGCAAGTCTTCTTGTGTATGTTGCTGTCCTATCTCAATTAGACAACTATAGTGTTTCTTTTCCAGAGAGATTTAATGGGCTCAGAGACAATCTGTTGTCTTCTATCAAGTGGAGGTCCACACAGAAACAGTCCATAAAACAGTGCATTTAAAAATATATTTTCCTGCAGCAACTATTCCAACAGTTATTTTCCAGAGAGATGCATTTAATCAGCTCAGAGACAATCCATAAAACAGAGGTACAGACAAGGCAGATGACAAGGTACTTAGAACATTCATGCAATCATCAGACACATTCAGAGAACCCACTTTCTCCTGTCTCACTTTCTCTTGACCCCACTTTTTCCTGACACAACTCAACCAAAAAACCTTCCTTAACCTCCCTAACGGTATTCCCGAGTGTAGCTCGGGGTAAAGTTTCTGTACCAAAAGCGGTAACCCCGAGCTACACTCGGGCTTACCATGCAGCGCTGCATAGGGAGTCCCTGCAGCACTTACTTTGTCCTTCG